TAAAGTAAAAATATCAGAAAAATCTACTTGAGTACAGTAACAAAGTATTTGTACTTCGTTACTTCCCATCTCTGCAGTGCAGAATACAAATATATATTTAAAAGAAACGCCTGAGGAAGCAGGAAGAGCAACGCCTCTCCGTCAAACAAGTTCATCACTTTTTGTTGTCATTTTAATTATAAATACAATTTAGAGAAGCGGAACTGAGGAGTTTGGCTACTGAATGATGTCAGAGTTGAGATAAAAAGTCCAGATTTGCCTCATAGCTGATTGTAGCGCTGGATTGGGAAAAAAAAAAAAAACCTATTAGAAATGAAACCTTTAAAATATTTCTAATAGTTTGGTGTTTAGCACTCAAGAGCATAGAAAAAAAAAAGTTAGGGTGAAATAAAGTGCAGAAGAAACCCTCCCAGGATTAAAAATCAGCATCTGCCTCTGCTGATGCATCTTCTAGAAGGAACTGTAAGTTTATTGTTCCTCGAATACTGACTCATTAAAAAAATCAATTGTTAATAACATTTAAATAGGAGCATGATAAATAGTGTGGGTTTGAAAAAGGGATAACTTTTATATTTATGCATCCTTAGTTATAGTAAAATGTATTACACCATTTATTGCAGTATTTTATTTCTTTTTTATGTCATTTTAGATCCAATATATTCTTCATATTTTACTTTTGCCATTTGATCATCTCTAACAGGTTATGTGTTTTAAATCATTTTGTATATGTTAATGATGCTGAACAAATTGTCCATATTTAAATTTGATCCATTTAATGTTTAAGCCATTAAAAGCGGACTGATTGCAGCTGATGTTTACATACGCTGCTAAGGAATAAGGCTCAGGTAGGTTTTTAGCATATGTTATTATTTTAACAACAATCCAAGACAAAATTAGCCATTTAAAGCCAAGTGTATCATATTTGATACGCGAGTATTTTTTAGACCTATGCATTATCAGTGCAATGTTTTTGTTCTTTAAAACCTTGAATTACATAATCTACGGAAGAGGATTAGGGTCACTGATAAAAATAGCAAAAAGTTAACGGATTTTTAAATTATGTTTCAGTATAATATGTTAGAAAAGTCAGAATTCTGAATTTTTTTTCTCAGAATTCTGATTCCCCCCCCCCCCATTTTATACCAAAATAAAATGTAAAAATCAGTAAATTTATTTTTTCAGTTGCCCTAATTCTCTATTGTACTACGATCTCTTCCTCCACGATTAGAATTTACAGATTAAAATCAGAATTCTTAAAAATTAGAGTCAGAATTGTGAGAATAATTATACTGAAATAAAATTTCAAAATCAGTTAACTTTTTTTCTCAAAGGCACTAATCATCTTCTCTAATAATCAGACACATGTAGTGAACAGAAAAAGTATAAAACATTGTACAGAAATGCCTAATGTATCCAAATTGTTGCAAATAATGGATCTAATTTAACTTACACAAAATGTATGTTTTTTTTTTATTTCTTTTGTCAGAAAGTTCAATGACAAGTCTATTTTTTTTTTATGCCAGTTTTCTGTCAATGATTTCATAATACACGCTTTAAAGGGTTAAGTTAATGAATCCAGATGGCATTTTCTAGAATTAATCGACATCTGAACTTATCAAATAGAAAACCTCCACTTTTTTCTTTTTGCTAGATTAGAAAATGTAATTTCTGCTGGAAATTCTGTCCTATTTCTGTGGGACTTAAAGTATTCTACATTTTAATATTCCTGATCTAATGATACCATAGCTCAAAGGGTAAGCAGAAAATATGTGACACAAATGTCTGTTTTTAATAAATAAACATCAAATAAATTGTAAAAAAAAAAAAAAGAAAAAGAAAATCTAAAGAATATCAGCGCATATTTCAATGACTTGGAGTCTCAACTCACCTTTTTTGGATATACACTTGTTGATGAAGACAAAAATGATGCCGATGACCAGCGAAACAAAAATCATCACCAGTATCAACACCACCCAGATGTATTTGCGTAGAAAGGCCATGGGATCTCTGCTGGACACCACAAACCATAAAATGGAGAAAAAAAAAAGAATCTCTTCGCTAAATAAGCATCACAAAGACAATCGAATTTAACAAGTTTTCATCTGTTGCTTTTCAGTATACCAGGCTGTGGATCGGAAAGAAAACTGTTCACCACTTCCTCTTTTTGAGTGTCGACTAAGTCTTAAAGTTATTTTGGTTTCAGCATCTGAATTGTGAGCCTCAAACAAGTCTCCTTACAACCTCTAGGGACTATTTTTGGGAGGAAGTACACCAACTGCACCGCCACTAAAATAATAAGAGATGTATTTCTTCAAAAAACATTTTGCTGCTTTTTATTGAGCTGTAAGAGTTGGTATTTTACAAATATATGGAAGCGAAAGAACTTATATTCAACTTTTTATTCCATCTAGAAACTCATATTTCCGTCTTGATGATTCAATGAAACTGCATTTTTCTTCAGTTTATCTTTTCTCCCCAAACCCTTCAACAACTTCCTGTCAGCTTCCAAGAGCACATATTGATTATTCATTATTCCATTAAAGCAGCATATTTAACCCCCTTTTATTAGCTACACCTTTCTTGTGGCAAACTATTATTTTTTTCATCCAGTTAACAATTTTTAATCTAAAGCAAGATTTTCCTGAAAAAGTCTCTAAAAATCCAATAGTCTGTCCTACCTGTTCGTCAACCAGCAGATGGATCCAAGGCTGTTTAAAAACCTGTTGTCTGGCTCAGGGACCTCAAAATGAAAGTAGATGGCATGATACAACAGCAGTCATCATGTGCAGAAACTTTGCATAGAAGCTTCTCATTTTCTCCGTTACAGTAAAGAGACCTGTGGGCTGAGGCTGTACAATCCCCACCCTCTTCCATGCTTCACTGACCCCAGCTTGTGGGTGTTTGCAAGTCTGTCAGAGTGACAGAAGAGAACAAATTCTCTACACAATATTTTGAGTCTCTGCAAAAATAAATCACATTTAATCATCTGCACCACCTGCAGGCATTATTTTAACAGATAACTCGATAAAACTTACGCCAGAGCGGCACAGTTCATACATATTTCAGCTGTTACAAATTTCAGTTCCTCTTTTAACTCTCTGATTTTTCTGCCAGTCTACCTCCAGTCTGCCGGGATTAGATAAAACAGGGTTGTAATGAGCAGCTGCAACCTTGTAATAAATTTATAATGAATTGCATGCTTCTGATCCAGACACTGTTGCATGATTTAAAACATTTTTCTGTTTATGTTTTTAAATGAGAGAGCTTGATTTTAATGCTGGATGAGCAACCAGAGGGTGTGTCATTGCCAATACTTTATTGTTGGTGGCATTTTGTTGCAAAAAGTTGTGCAAGTAAGCTTGGTTTCAAGGATTTTATGCTATGAAGCATTAACAGTAAAGGGCTTCTCTGCTCAGAAAATAAAGGAAGGATGTAAAGAACACAGTATAACTTCGATTGAATCAAACGTCTAAGAAATCAAACCATCCACTTAGGAGGCAACACTGATTGATAATCATTTTCCCATGCTGTTGCGCCAATAGGAAGGTGGAAATTACTGGCGATTAGGAATAAGCACTCAATAAAGGAGTAGTATCTATTATATTATATTATCGTATCTATTTTAGGCAGATTTTTTGGTAAATTTTTGAATGTTAGTGTTGCTTTCACAGTTATGGTAGAATGAGACAAATTCTGCAACCCACACAAGTAACTCAGGTAGTGCAGCTCATCCAGGATGGCACATCAGTGAGAGCTGTGGCAAGAAAGTTTGTCTGTCAGCTTAGTGTCCAGAGGCTGGAGGCACTACCAGGAGACAGGCCAGTACCTCAGGAGACGTGGAGGAGGGCAACAGCCCAGAAGCAGGACCCCTCCTCCATCTCTGTGCAAGAAGGAGCAGGAGGAGCACAGCCAGAGCCCTGCAAAATGACCTCCAGCAGACCACAAACGTGCATGTGTCTGCATAAACGGTTAGAAACTGACTCCATGAGGATTGTATGAGGGCCCAACGTCCACAGATGAAGGTTGTGTTCACAGTCCAACACCATGCAGGACACTCACACTAAGCATGCTTGTAGCGACAGACATACCTGTCTATGTTTCTAAAATTTGGAATCAAAAAAGCTTCCTGAATGGGAAGCGAAACGTCTTCAGACTTGGAAACAAAGTCCAGTGGATTTTTTTTTTTTTTTTTTTTTTACTTTTTTGGAACACAGCTAACCTATATGGTTAGAATGTCTGGCCCAAGAAAACAGACATTGCATATAAGGAGGAAAATAAAACGGAAATCTTCTCAAAGCTGGCAGTATGAGGGTACAAAAACATGTGACTTATCAAACGTTTTACTTTTTGATGTCAATTAACAGAAGAGCCCTATCCTTATGAAATATTGCATACAAATAAAACTGAACTCAAAAATGTGGTCACAAAAACTTTGTTTTGTTATAATGATCATAATACGATTAAAATCACAATGAGGATAACATTCAGACTGATATTATTTGAAAAGAAAAAGAAGCGAGTTTGTTCTGTCTTCTATTGATATTCAGATATTATTCAAAGTTAAAGTGTTTGTATTGTAATCGGAAAATTACATTTTTGGAAACAGCTGCGTTTGTATCTGACAAAAATGACACTCTCAACATGGCGGACGAGATGACGCATGTAGTTTCTACACGGTAGCGCAGGAAGTGCTGCATTCGCTTCTTCCGGTCTCGTATATTAAAAGCATCTCCCTTCTACTTTTCTTTTGGAAGGTAACGATGCAACAGGAAATGCGAATATTTCCTTCAAAATAAAACACTGACGATGCATATATTTACAAATGCCATTACACGTTCATAATAGACTTCTCAAAAATGAAATAAATAGCTTTTTTGTAGGATTAGATCAAACATGCTTTTGTTCAAGCCTGTATTAAGTATCCCCCACACCTAAAACTTTCCTCAAGTCTACATTTTCATTTTATTTTGAAATTCCAACCGGAAAGTCTTCATTTCCGACATCTCTAGCTTCACAGCAGATGTGATGTTAGCTTGTTTTCTTGGGCGCTCCTATCTGTTTTTCCATCTCTGTTAACTGTCTGAAGCTTCCCTCACCAAACCATGGCCGAGGAGGCCGAGGGTTCCCCTCTGTCGTCCCAACATGACGGTAATTGTCCCGTGTTTGACGCCCTTCTAGGGTGGAGGGTGTAAGGGGAGGGGGTGTTGACGGTTGACAGACCCGAAGGCAGCGGCCTCTGCATCCTTGACAACATTAGCCAGTTAGCATCATCAGTGCGACGTGTCACTGGCTCTTATTGAACATTTTCTGTCACCCACCGTGTGCGCATAAGAACATCACATTAACCAGTTCAATGTTGCTAAACGTCTGAAAGACACCACAAGTATTTTTGCTATTTATATTTACCTACAAACCCAATAGCACAACGTTAACTGTGATGTATCATCACTCTCTGTGTAGCTGGGAGCTTTAGCTACTTAGACTTATTCCTAAAGGTCGGGTTTGGATCCGAATTTTCAGCCTGTGACCGGTTCTAATGGGTGGTACCGACCCAGTTCCAATGCTCTGTGTAAGTAGGGTTGGAATTGCCTGTAAGGGGGGCTGGTTTCCCTGCACCTGGTGCTTATTCTTGTTTTTATTTTTGCAAGACAGTCAGCAGATGATATGATCAAGAGTGCTCAACAGTTAAGCTTGTCCTTAAATTATATCTAGTTTAATAGTTTTTCATATTTGCTTTCTTTGTGATAAAGCTGGACCAGCAAAATAATCTACAGTTTGGATTAGTTAGGTTTTAGGCTTGGTGCAGGATTAACAAAACCAGCAATGATGTAAACATGGAAGCATTGTAGTATCTAGATAGTGAAAATGTCAGACATAAATGGAGTAGGACAGTTTATAGAGGGTTATTTCAACACTTTTTTGGGGTTTAAAATAGTAGGGAAATCATATTTAATTGTCAAATCATTCTGGCTTAAATGTGTATATAAATGTACTCTATATCAGACTATATTGTCCTAAAATTAAGAAAATTTCTATTCTATATCTATTTCTATTTCTGTCTTAAAATCTTTTTTTTTATTTTTTTTTATCTTATTCTGGACAGTTAGTTATACGTCAGCCTGTACACCTAAATTCAACCAATTATATATCAACGGTCATCTGTCAATCAAATTATTTCGGTCATAGCATCTTGATTCATATTTCGCAGCTAATATACGCAACGGTTGAAATCAGAATAATTTCCTTTCCCATTGCGTTCCGTCCCAGTGTTTACAGGGATGGACGACTGTGTCTTCAGCAGCTTGTGGGGCTTTGCAGGCCAACAAAAGAACCCAAATGACCCCCATTCCAAAGGGGCGGACCCGTTCATCCGTTTCAATTTGCATGTTTTCTAAACAAAAACAAGGCTTTGTTGGGCTGCTGTATAAAGCCTCGAACCCAACCACATTCCTGACATTTTGAATTGGAAAAAGCTTCCTGGATGGGAAGAGAAACATCTTCAAACTTGGAAATAAAGTCCAGTGGATTTTTAAAATAACTTTTTTGGATGACTATGACCTGGATGATTGAGAACCTTCACCAGCAGATATAGGACGTAGTATTAATGGTGGATGAGTATAATTACTTGGGATCACCCTGACAGGGAGTGCATTAGTAGGGAGTTGGTTGTTGGAGAAAAGGACTCCAAGCATGTTTTAGGATGCAGACGGGTAATTAGCTGTGGGATGGCCTCAGGAAAGCAGCTAAAAGAAAAAGAAAATTCACGTTTTGTAACATCCATCATTGCCTGTACCTGCTTTTCCATGCAGGGTTGTTGGAGCTGGTTCCTGTCTCCATTGGTCCTTTGGGAAAGAGACAGGAAACATCCTGCATGCAACATGTTCTCTACAGACATAAGATTGTAGAGAAACACCCTAGACAAACAACCATCTACAAACACATCTAAGGGAAATTTAAAGAGAACAGATAGCCTCATCGTTCTGTATTTTTTGGGCTGCTTGAAGGAAATTGGGGTACCCTGTGAAAAGCGATGCATTCATGGGGAGAACATGCAAATGTTTTGCAGAAAGACCCCAATCTGATCCCAGGACCCTCTTTCTGTTAGATATGAACGCTTCACCCTGCAGGTCTGATTGCTAACCATTCAGACATTTTTATCAGCTGATTGCTGATAATAACGATAAGAAGGGAGAGGCAGAAACACCATAAACCCTGAAAATATCATTACATTTTTTTAGATTTTAAATAAAATTGTTTTTAATAATGTTTCATTGCATTAAAACACCTGCTTTAAATGTATCTGGTTAACCAAGCTAGTTAAAGTCTATAAACTCATTTCTGTTGAATAGACTAAAGGGTGCTGGACTTTGGCTTTGTTTTTTTTTGTTTTTATGCTGCCTCTTTTTATGAGTTTTTTTCCTTGAATAGTTAAACCTTTCTTTTATAATGAAGTTAGAGCTTTGTGATGAGGGGGTTGAGTTTAACTTTGTGCTTGAAAACTCATGGGATCAATGTGAAAATCCTGTTGGAGTTTGCTCGGGTATCACATGACTAGCAGATCGTCTGAGCACCAATCTGCTGCTTGTCACTCGTAAATGTTTCCATTCGCCCGTCTGCATGCGAGAATGTCGCCGTCTCTCTGGACATTGTGCTGGTTTTAAATAGCAGGAGTCAAACCAGGTACGAGCTGCTCCTGGTGTAGGAAAAAAACTGTGACTGGATGTATTTTCAGGCTGGTTAGGACACAGCACTGCACTACTTTAACATTTAACCTGAAAGGTAACCTTTTTCTGTTTAATACTCTCATTACTATCGATAACAAGACAGATGTTTGTTATTGTTTATTAGAAATATAACTCCTCTCAAATAGATCACAGCTGTGTGTCAATGAGGGCGACATGATGGTGAAAAACTTTACACTGATGGTGATATTAGATAAAATTCTAATGTTTTCTTA